GGTTCTCCCCGCGGTCTCCGCCTCGGGACGTACCTCCTCGGGACGGTGAGTGCCGGGGAGCGGGGCGGGGGTCGGGGCCGCTCCCGGTGCGCGGGGCTCGGGCTGCCGTCGGTGCCGCGGAGCGCTCCCGGAGCGCGGCACTCGGGAGCTCTGCCGGTCTTGGAGAAGCCCCCGGTGCGCGGGGGGACGGGAACGCTGGCGGCGCGGTGCCCGGTGCGGTTCCTCGCCCTGCGGAGCCGCGTCCGTGCGCTGCGGGGCTGCGGGGCGCTCCCCCGGGGCGGGGCGCGGTGCGGAGACCGCTGCTCGGTCGGCGTCCGCGTTCCGCTCCCCGTCGTTCGGCTGCGGGCAGAGCGCAGCCGTGAGCCCCGCACCGCCCCGAGCTGCCCGCGCGGCTGCGGGAGGCGTTGCTGCAAAACTCGGCGGGCGCGGAGCTCTGTGCCCCGCCGGTGGATTTGGCCGCAGGAGGTGCGCGGGGTGGCACCGGTGGACGGCCACCCCGCACCGCCCCGCACCGCTCCGATCCCGCGGCCCCGCACCGCTTCCACGCGCCTTTCGCTTCAGGTTTTGGGGTTTTTTTTTGTATTTTTGGGTTTTTTTTCGCTCTTAGCCGAGGAAAAAAAAAAACAACCAACAACTTTGCAACTTCGCTTCGGTGTCACGGAGCCGCTGCCGCTTCATTTTGTTTTCTTAATTTGGGGTCACGTGCGCCTTGACAGTGCCTTTGAATCTGAGCGATGGTTTCGTCTCCAGCTCAGAAGGAGCTCCGCAGCTCTTCCCTCCGTTGTTTTCCCTCTGTTCGGGAACAAAGAGAGAATTTTTCTTCTTTTTTTTCCCTTTTCCTCCACCTTTAACTGAAAGGAATCTCAATTCCCCGCTCCTTTGTCGAGCGACTCGAGGACCGATCGCCGCCGTTTGGCTCCGGGAGCGGAGATGCTGCGGAGCCGTCCGGGAATCACACAGCGGGCACGGAGCAGCAGCGGGGGGCAGCGCTGAGAGCCCCGGCAGCCGCAGCCCCGCAGTGCCGCTCGGGTGAGGATCCGCACCTCCAGAGCCCCGAGTTTGGGGGCCGCGTCGGTTTGGGTTGAGCGGAGCGCTGGGGCTGCGTTTCCCTCCGTGTGCCGGGGGAGGCGAGGGGGGCACGTTCTGTTTCGTAAATGCGCGCATAGGGAGGAGGAGGCGGAATGTTTTCCTATGGGGCTGGGTGCTGCCGTGGGGCTGGGTGCCGGTGTGCGGTGAGGCCTCGTGTGGGTGCGGGGTTTGATTTGTTGAGGAGTTAGAGGGTGGAGGATGCAAAAAATGCAGCGGTGCTGTGCTTCGCCCCGGTGCTGCGTGCGCCGCGTGGGTCGGGGGCTCGGGGCACTGGCAGCTCGGGGTGGGCTGTGCTGTGTGCGCCCTTATCTTCACTGTGACGAGTGGTCTGCTCCACTCAGCTCACGCTCAGAGCCCCACAGGGCTGCCCTGGGTGCTGTAGGACCCCGGGAGAAGAGGAGCCCACGGCACAAGTTGGGCACAGCTACCGGCACCGATCGGACGGCTGCAGCTGCGGCACAGGCGCGGTTTGAGCGGCTCAGGGCCTGATTCTGCAGGCAGCACCGGGAGATCGGTGCAAAACTGGAGCGTCCGCAACGCTGGGATGGAGGCTGAGCTGGCGGTGCTGCCCGGGTCGGGGCTTATTTTTGGATTTCCTGGTGCTTGTTTGCTGCCTCTCCTCCCAGCCCTCTTGGCCTCCCCAGGGGCAGCCCCACCTTGACGAGCCCGCAGCTTCCCTTCGGAAGATGCTGACCAACATTTCCAGAAAGCATCCGAAGGATTTCCTGTTTATTTTGCAAAATTCTCATTAATATTTTTCTTTTTTTTCCTGCCTTTATTGCATTAAATCTCGCACGGGTGAAATTGCCTTGAGATGGAGCCTGCGGTTAAAGAGAGACAAAGAGTTGGAGACGCAGCAGCCCGGTGGCTGTGGGGGTGCTTTGCTGGGCCCCCCCCCCCAGAGCCATCCCCATCCCAGTGCTTGTAGGGCCACGTGTGCCACTTGTAGGGACGAGGCCGCCCTTGGACACTGCAAAAAAGACAGCGCAGAGCATTTTGACCTGAGGCCTGATACTGTGACCCCATGGTGTGCCCATAGCTGCGGCACAGGGACGTGGCCATTGCATAGGGACGTTGGTCTGTGCTGTGCCAAGACCCCTGGCCCTGGAATATGGCCACGGCACGGGGATGTGGCCCCACGGTGTGTCTGTGGGCACTGTATGGGGATTTGGCCCCGCAGTGTGCCAGTATCTGCTGCACGAGGACGTGGCCATGGCACGAGGATGTGGCCCCATGATGTGCCCTTACCCACGGCACTGGGCCGTTGCACAGGGATGGGGTTTGCAGCCGTGGACGCCTCCTTTCTGGGCAATGCTTTGCAGAGCTCAGCCCCACACGTGCCCACGCTGGTGCTGTTTGCTCGCGGTGTTTAGAGTCTGTTTAAATCCCAGGTGCACACACAGCTGGGGAACGGCACGGGGTGGGGGGGGGGGGGGGCCACGTCCTCCTGCAAACTGCTGGTGGTGGGGCACGGCACCGGGCAGTGGGGCAGGCTCCGTCCCGTGCTCCCCCAGCGCTGGATGGGTCGGGTTTGCAGCTGGAGGAGCGCAGGGACAACGGGATCCCGCTCGGTCCCACGCTGAGTCACGCGCTCCGGCGCTCAGTCCCGAGACGCTTTTCCAGGCAAAGGCTGAAACGCACAAAATGTTCGACTTGTAAAATATGTAGCGTGAGAAAATAGCCTTTTCTGCTCTCCTCCTCGCCGCCGCCGCTCCCCCTGCCCCATCTGCTCGCTTGGAACGCCGCCCGAAGCCCGGGGGGGGGGGGGGGGGGGGGGGGGGGGGGGGGCGAGACCGCGAGAGCGATGCAGCTGACGGCACGGGGGTCACCGGTGATCAGCGCCGCGCTGGGGAGCCGTGCCACCCCGCATCCATCACAGGGGCTGCGTCGGGTCCGTGGGGATGATGCACGGCGAAAGCATCCTCCTTCCTCCCTGCGTGCGTCTGCCGGCGTCTCTCCCCGCTCCGGGTGCGTTGCGGGGGGGATGCGGCCGTTCCCAGGGCACGGGGAGGAGGGGGGGTTTGGAGCGGGGCGTCACGGGGAGGCCATGGGAAATACCCTACGAGGAACCCGGGAGGGAGCCGAAATCCCCGGAGCTGGCGACGAGCCATTGTTTTCACCAGCCACCTTAATCCATCATTATCTGGGCATATTTCGGATCCTTGCCAAGAGCAAGGTGGGAAGGGGGGGCTGCGAGCATGCTTTCCCTATTCCCCTGCCATCCTTTTTGCTGCCTGTGTGTAATTAACAGAGTAATTAAAAACAGGATGAGTTAATTGGTATTCATTTATGTGGCAGATGTTTTTAATTGAGATACGAAACAATTTACCTGTTTACATAAACAATAGCAAATGAAGGCTTGTAAAACAGAGAGGGCTTTTTCTTGTTGGGTTGGGGTTTTTTTTTTTCCTTTTTATTTTATTTTTTTTTTTAAGGAAAATCAAAATGCCCTCCTTTCCTTTCTCCCTCATTGCGTTGGCTGGGAGCTGTGGTTGAGTTGGATCAGTTTGGGTTTCAGGGAGAAGCACCCAGGGATTGTGGGCACCCCTTGGTGCTGGGCTGGTGCAGCCAGGCTGGGGGCTGCCCTGGGGGCTCCTCACTTTCAATCTGTCAGCCCAGAGCAGTTCATCCTCACCCTGCCACCGTTCTGGGATCCCATTGCAATCTCAGCAAAACCCTTTTGGATGTGGGGTAGCTCTTGGGTCAGCAGCATCCTTCCAGCACCGCGATGCTCCGTGTCCTCACCGGTGTCACCCCGTGGTCACGGTGTCCCCAGGGTGGGACTTTTCCCCATGCTTGGGCTGTGTTCTAGAGCTGATGGCAGCACTGGGGAAGGTTTGGTTTGGTGAGCATCCCTGTGAGCATCCCCATAGGCATCCCCATAGCCTCGGTCGCGTGACCCCAGCTGCTCCCTGAGGGATGGGATGCTCAGCACCCCCATCACCATGTTCTGGACCAGGAAGGCAGCAGGGTGGCTGTGCCCCCACCTCCCCACGTGCGTTCCCCCGACCCCTGCCCGCTCGCACACGTGGAGCTGCCGCCGGCTCAGCGCTGCCCTAACGCACTCCAGATGGAGCGGCTCCGGCCCTCGCAGTCCTATCTGGGAGTTGTTCTTGGCCCCCGTGGCACCAGCAGCTGAGCAGCAGGAATGCTTTCCTTTGTTTGGGAGGCAGCCTGGCTTCGGGAGACGTCGCCTCCAGCATCTGGATTTCATTTGTGGCCATTTGGAGAGCATGAAAGATGCTGTTCTTTTAATTCCCTTTTAACCCCTTTGTCGCCGACGGCTCTCTGGACCGGCTCCGTGCTGGGGGATGCAGAGGGGCTGCAACCACCCCGTGTGCTGTGCAGCCCCTGTGGGTACGGCCCTGCTGTCCTTGTCCCCAGCTGCCCCATTGAGCAGAGGGATGGCTGCATCGCACGATGCTTGCAGTGGTGGCACAGCCATCAACCAGTGGGGACCGTGCCCAGCCCAGCGTGCTGGGGGTTAAAACCCTGCGGTGTGACAAATGGGGTTTGGGGGCACGGGGGTCCGGCATCCCATTCCCAAGGGGGAGGCAGGGCGGGGTGCGGCGGCGGAGCAAAGACTAATCCTTTTATTTTTATATTATTACTTATTCATCTGGGCTGCGCTGAGCCTAATGGAAACCAGATGTAGGAAAACAGACACAGCCCCAAGCGGCTGGGACAAATTACCCCAAAGGAAAAAAAAAAAAAAAAAAAGAAAAGAAAAAAGAATAAGAAAACTGGGGGGGGGAAAAAAATTCCAGCGGAGGTTGAGCGGCGCTGGGGAAACGATGCCACGTTTGGGGGCAGAGTGTGAGCACCGCCTGGTGACCCCTGGGAGGGCCAGAGGGACACGTGGCAGGCTGCAGGATGCTGTCACTGCAGGGGCATTGGGGGGCAGAGGTTGGGGTGTGCAGAGGGAGAGACGGCGTCCCGCCGTGGCCCCGTGGGGACACTGCATTGCTTTGGGTGTTTCTGGGCTCCAGTGCTGAGCAATGCCGCATTTTGGGGCCGCCTCTTGCTCCCGTGCTCACGCGGTGGTGTTTGGACTGCGAACACAGCAAGGGAAATTTATGGCTTGGAGGAGGAGGGGGGAAGAAAAGGAAAGAAATCACACGCCCAGATGCAGCGGTTCCGCGGGTGTTTGTTCAGCTTCGTGGAAAATCTCCTCCCGGTGGGGAGCGTGGAACAGCCGTGTTGGCGCCGCGATTCTCCGGCGTGGGGACAGGGCTGGATGGGGACAGGGCTGGATGGACACCCTGTGCCAGATGGGTGTTGCTGGACTCGGTGCCGTCTCCAGGGCCGCCCCCTGAACCCCTCATCTCACCCCGTTTGCCCTCGGGGCTGGGTGCTGCTCTGCTGTCAGATGCACCACATGTCTGCGCCCCGTCCCACCGCCCCGCACAGTGCGCCAGGTGCCGTGCCCCACACTCCCACCCCACTGTGGGGTCCAGACACATCCCAGAAAGGTCCCCGTTGTGCCCTACCCACCCAGGTGCCGCTCACCACCCGCCCTGTCCCCGCAGACCCCGCCGCACCACGGGCTGCCACCATGCCCGACTCGCCGGCCGACGTCAAGACGCAGCCCAGGTCCACGCCGCCCAACATGCCGCCGCCGCCGCCCGCCGTCACGCAGGGAGCCACGCGTCACCCCTCCTTCACACCCAGCACCAGTGAGTATGGGGATGGGGATTGTGTTGGGGACGGGTGGCAAAGTTGGGCTTGCACCGTGTTGGGGTGTGCGGCGTCCTCGTGCCATCCGTGTGCCAGAGTAGGGATTGAGGCCGCGTGCGCTCTGCCCATTCCTGGAGAGATGCTTGGGGGTGGGGATGTCCAGCTCCAGGTCTCTCTCCTGCCATGTGGTCACCAAATAGGAGCAGCACCGGTGCAGAACTGCCGCAGGGTGCTGGGACAGTGTCATGGCCCCACATGGTGGGGCTCCTCCTGTCTGTGTCCAGGTCACAGCATGCTGCCATCAGGGTCTCTAGCTGGGGGGAGACCGGCCGCACCAGTGCTGTGTGCACTCATTGTGTGTCTGCAGGGCTCACACTCAGCTTGGTCCCAACACCGATGGTGCAGCCCTGGGATACTGATGGGCAGCTCGGGTGGGCAGGGGATGAGGCAGTCCCTGCCACCAGGGCTGCTGTGGCTTGGCTGAGGTCTCTCTCTAAGCACATGCATGCCTGTACCTCCTTCTTGCATAGAAACCCCATCAGGGATGAAACAGTCCCAAAACGACACCCCAACACCAGCCCTGCTCCCAACCAGATGTCCTCTAATTAGAAATCAGATTGTGCCCATCTATTTTCTGAGGGGTTTTGCTTTTTAATCCCAACCCTTCTGCAGGGGCCAGCTGTGGGCATCTCCATCCCATGGGTATGGGTGCCCTGCCACCGCCCTGGCCCTTCTTTGGGGCAGCGTTTTGACTTGTTCTCAGCCTCGTGGAAGTTTTGCCAGGGACCCAACGGGGCAGTGAAGCACCCTCTGAGCTCCAATGGGTCGCACAGAGCTGTGCCCGTGGTGCTGTGCACAAACCAGGCCCCCCCGGGCTGAGAGCTGTCCCTCTGCTCTCTCATCACAGCGTGTTTTATTTTGCTTGCAGATCGAGACGCTGTCCCTCCGACGTTTCTTCCTCGCGGCCGTTTTCATGGTTGCTTGAAATGGTCGATGGTCTGTCTCTGTAAGTAAAGTGAAGCACACGCTCTCATGAGAGACCTGAGGTGCAGCACCACCCCCGGCCCCTCTCCTTGCCCCCGTCCCAAAGATGCACACCCCATCCCCATGCCAACCAAGGGACACGTGTGGCAGCTAACTTAGGAACGCACCTGTCATGGGAATAAAAGCAGTTGTGGCCACAGGGTTATTTTAGGCCCCTCTTTAGTGCTGCAGGGCACTGCGAGGTCAGTGCATGCGTGGGGCATGGCCGTGCTGCCCGGCGCTGCGGGATGTGAGCGGGGCACTGGGTGCTGCCCCCAGCCCGGTGCTCTGTGCCCCAAAGGGACCCCAGCCCGTGGTACCAACAGGATGCTCAGGGCTCCCCATCCCTGACCTCTCCTCTCCTCTCCTCTCCTCTCCTCTCCTC